ACCCCACCTGGCATGCCCACCCGACCTGATATGCGCCTCACCCTATCTGACATGCCCACTCTCACCCCCGTGCCAGGCAGGGGCAGTGATGAGTACTCCATGGCCCCAAGGCTGCTGCTTAGGATGTACGTTGACCCCCCATCTTGAGTCTCTATCTTCCTCTTTTTGTATTTCTAGACCCTCGACCTGACTGGCTCCAGAGAGACTCCCTCCTCCATTCTGTTAGGCTCCAACCAAGGATCTGGTACGTTGCCCCGTGGTGAGAAATGACACATTGATGTTGCTCATGGGCGCAAGGGAAGCCATGTTGCCAGGGAGTACACTTGGGTCCAAGTGACCGTGCACATTTGAGATGGGGCCCTGATAGTACAGTGGCTGAGCACGTAACTCCTGACAGAAAGGTTGGCAGTTTCAACCCACCAGCACTCTTTGAGAGAAAGGCCTGGAGATTGGCTCTTGAAAACTCTACAGAGCGCTGTTTCCTGCCTTTTGCACGGCCTGTGACTAGGAATCAGCTTGGCAGCAGTAGGTGGTCTGGCCCCTTTAAGGATCTTTACAGGTGCCTTGGGCAGTTGCATGAGGGCTGTTGCAGTTACTGGGTCCATATAAAATTTCACGCACACAGAGGATTATTTTGCTGACCTGGATTGGGGTGGTGGAGGCTCCCTGGCCTGGAAGTTTTGTGCTTTCAGGCAATGACCAGTCAGGGTCAATCTGTCGAGAAGGGTTTTTAAGGTCCCAGCCCTCCATCACTCGAGTTTTTTGAGAAATAAATTTTTAGGTGGGCAGAGAACAGCCTGGTCAGTGGTTTTAGGGCATTTTCTGAGGTTTATGCTGACTTTTAAGTCATCTTGAAAGTACCTCATTGCTCTTGTGTCAGAACCTACTGATAGCTGACCCTCCAAGGAGTTTTCAGAGGCTGTAAATCTCAGGGGAGTTGATTGGTGGAAGAGTTGTGGGTGGGTTCACACTGATTGGGTTAGCATGTGGCTCCCATCGGAGAACACTGCTGAGAAGTCCACATTAATTCAAGATTCTAGCTGCCACCTCACCTCGAGCATCTTTTTCTCTGCCAGATAGCCAATCAGTTAATGCCTATGTATTGAGCGGTTTCCGTTGTTAACTTGACTGGGGAAGGGTTTTTTAACAGGAGGTGGGATTCAGTGGGGAGGGGCATGCACTGATTTTAAAGAGACTAGAAATTTAATATTACATTCCATTGAACCCCTATTGAGAGCCTTCTCACTACCCTTTCTGTTCCCTGATTACATAAGCAGCTGATTCTTGTCCAGAATCTTTTTTTAACCTGTGTCAGAGGAGCCTTCAGCAGGCATAGAGCTTAGGTAGAATTTAATAATACCATTTGGTCTTCATTCTTTTTATTTTGTAGTTACCACTTATTTATGGCTGGTATCTTTGTTCTTCCATTTCTTGGTGATGATGTGATCACTGTTTTTAGTCATTGAAGTCTTAGAGTGAGTTAAGAAAACTGAAAACAGCTTTTGAATGAAGTACTCTGAAGTATGCAAAAGTTTTAAAAAAAAACCCCAAACACCAAAACACCCAAACAACAATCTGAAACTTTGGTTAGGTGGGATCCTGTCACAGAAAGAAAGCTCAGAACTTTTCCACTCACATGAGTGATAGAAAAGTAAGGCCTACTTCAGTCTGTCCCAGGCTTAAAAACCTGGGAGACCTGGAAAAGCGAACAAGGCTGTACTGGCGAGTTCTAGCTCTGACAGGCTTCACGGAAGTCAGATGTGGGAGGCATGTGGATAGGTCAGAAGTTGGGACGGTCACGTGAAAAAGGAGTAGGGATGCACTCAGGCAGGAGGGTGATGGTGAAGTTTTGCAGCTGCGAGGTTTTGCAGTCCACTTGGAGTTTGGCGAGATAGAGCACTCCAACGGTGTGTCACATTGGTCAGAGGAAGGAGGGCGGTTAGCCAGCCATCAGAAACAGAGGTTGGTGGTGTAAACCCACCAGTGGGTCGATGGGAAGAGAGAACGGACAGTCTCTTCTTTCCGATCACAGCCTAGGAAGCCTTATGGGAGGGGTTGCTAAGAATGGGAGTTAGAGGGAGCTCTGGTGGCCTAATGGCAAGAAGCTGGACTGTAATCCCAGAGGGAAGTGGTTTGAATCCACCAGATGCTTTGCTGGAGAAGGAGGGGCAGTCTCCTCCTGTACCAGTCAGATCCGATTTGACAGTACACACACACAAAAATAATTTTTTTTTAAAAGAATGACAGTCAGCTTAGAACCACCCACACCACTGGGAGTAATTGGGAGATGCAGCATACACCGTTCTGGGGTGAATGAGGTGGAATCCGCCAGCAGGATATTTGTGCAACTTGCCGTAAGAATGTTTTAAGCTCTGCAGGCCTCAGCTCTGCCTTATAGCACAGAAGTAGCTGCCTTTAATATGTCAATGTTGGGTGTGGCTGTGTTCTGATAAAGCTTTATTTATAACATCTGCAGTGGACTTGATTTACCCGGTGGGCCATAGTCTTGAAGGACCTCCTTGCTTTCTTAGGTACTGCTGTAGTACTGACTGAAAAAAACCCAAACCAGCCCATTTCTTCCAGTTTTTCCAGCAGTGGGCCCACGGCCTCTGTGATGATGTTTTTTTCTGGCTGGCCTCTTCCCGAGCCTCCCACTTAAGTCGTGGACATGTCCTTAACGTAGTTCTGGGTCCATTGCTTTCTTTACTCAAAAAACTTAGAGAAGAGCTTTGCGACATGATTGTTCTGTGATTCTCACCGTGGACTTGTCAGCGAGACAGAATGTTGGAATGTTGCAGTCTAACAACACTTAGAATGAAAAATGCGGCTGTTTGCAGATCCCCCCCCGCCCCGTTTTCTCACCAGTGCGGTTTGTGCTAATGATTTTGTCAAAACTCATTTTCATACCTTTTTTCATTGATCGTATGTCACTTAACTTCTGCTAGCTTTTGACAATGTAGATGAAATAGAGAAGGGCTTTGGAAACACTCCTGTTTCCGAGTTATTTATAAGCCGTTGGCGAAGATCACAGTCTAGTTGGAAAGTAGAACTGTTGTTTTATGGGGAAATGACCCTCCTTTTTGTATGGACCTTTTTTCTTTCAGATTTTAATATTTTCATTAAAGTCATGCATGCATATAGTTAATTTTAAAAGCTGTACTGAAAGCAAAATAATTCCCATGCCTGGTGTCTTTTAATTTCTAATGTTCTCTTTTTTCTTCTTTTTTTAAATGCTTTTATTTTAATTGAGATTTTAATGAAAGTTTATCGAAAACTTGGATTTCCATTCATTCATTCATTGTTGCACATTTTCCTCCCTACCCACCCGGTCTGTCTTCTTTCATAATGATGTATTTATTATTTACCTCTGTTTCTGGATACATCTGTTTTCTTGATGTTGTTTATTGAGGCGATGACCTCTCCTATCCCACACTGCTCAGGTCACTGTTTGAAGTATTGTGTCAAGTCTCTGGATGGATGGTGCATATGATTTAACAGCCTTAGCTGCTAATTGAAAATTTTGAGAAACACCTTGGAAGAAAGGCCTGGCAATCTACATCAGAAAGATCAACTCTTGGAAACCTCAACCCAAGTTGGGGCTGACCTGATGGAAACTGGTTGTTGTCGGTTATTGTGGTCACTTAAATGGGCTCTGGGTCAAGCAGCGGGTTACATGTTTGGCAGCTAACCTAACAGGTTGTTGGTTCAGATCCATGAGCCCCTCTTCAGGAGAAGGATAGACAAGCCTCTCCTGTAGAGATTTTCAGCCTCAGGAACTCGAGAAGGGTTACTGTGAAATTGGAATTGACTCAGTGGGAGTGGGTTGGTTAGGGTCAGAAAGGCTCTTAACTCTTTAGTTCTAACTGTGTCAACTGGAGTATCTCTTGGCCTCTCCTTGGTAACCCATCTCTTCCCTCCCTCTCCTGCCGCTGTCAGATCCAGATTGTCTTGTCATCTCGGCTCTTTACTGTCCTATCCTCAAGTTTGAGAAAAACATATGCCGTCTGCTTTGTAACTGCCCCTGACTCTCCCTGCTGCCGTCGGTTGACCGACTCTGGAAGTTCAACAGCAGAAGCCCTTGCTGACGATGACCGTCTGTTGGTGGCAGGGTCACATAGGGCCATTACAGCCCTGTTTCCATACAGCCTGGCTCTCCCTGGCCTTTATGTACCCGCTTTGTCCTGTCTTCAGCCATCTCCCTGCCGCGCTCACTCACCAGGGCAACTATCTTCTTGAGGTTTATCTCATACTGTTTTGTTTTTGACTCTTCACATTTCCACGGGAATGTGCTGCTGTTGTAGATGAGGGTTTAGCTTCTGACGCCTCGTGGAGCAGCTTCCTCCGCCCACGCGTCCTTTCCGCCCCCTCTTCACAGGCACCTGGCAGCAGATCGCTTATTACAGTCTCTGAATGTGCTGGGTCTTTTTTGGGTGTTCTCATATTCTGTCTCCTGTGTGGTTTTTATCTCCTCTGGATTTCCTGATTTATTTTACTCTCTTGGTTGAGCTAGTGGTTCTGAGAATTCTGCTTCTGCAGTCCTGAAAATATGTGCTTTACACTGTGCTGGTTGTCTGCGACCTCCTGAGGCACCTCTCCTGCCTGCAGTGCCCTGCGGTATTTGTGGTCCTGTTGATGGGTTTGTTCCTTTTGGGTTTTTTTTTTTTAAAGATTTTACATGAACTTTAAAAATCCCTTTCAGTATGAAAACTTTACAACTTCTAAGGCAGTCTGTAAACCAAGACTTTTAAAAAATTATTATTAATTTTAATGAAAATTTACAGAGACTTTGGATTTCCATTGTTGCACTTTTCTCCCCTCCTAATCCCTCCCCCCTAGTACACTACTCTCTTGGAAAAGTGAAAGAAAAATTCTTTCATTGTTTTATAATCCAGATCCACTCCACTATGCAGCCTTCGCTCTGGACTCCTGTCATGACAATAATACCTAATCACATTTCCCTTTTAAACAGTTTTTTCCCTTATCTCTTTCAATGCAGTATACATTATTGAACCCATCTTTCTCAGTATCCCCCCAACCCCAAGATCAGTCCTGTTTTACAGCAGTGGCACCATGCAGTATTTGTCCTTTTGTGACTGAGATATTTCACTCAGCATAATGTCCTCCAGGGTCTCCCATTTTGAATAATATTGCATGAGTTCCTTGTTTTTCAATGCAGCGTAGTATTCCATTGTGTGGATATACCACAGCTTCTCTATCCATTCGTTTGAGTTTGGTTTTTTTTTTTTTTTTTTTGAGTTTGTTTTTTTTTTAAAGTCACCCTTGTCTCATGAATGTATCGAGTTGGAGAATGTCCTTAGCAGCAACAGCAGCTTGTCAAGGGTGCAGTGGTTATACACACAATTGTTTCACAGGAGGAAGATTTCTGCCTTGGAAACCGAGTCCAACAGTCAAACCCAAATTCCATGCTGTTGAGTTGATTCTCGCTCACAGCCAACCTCCACTGGGTTTCAGGGCCTCGTAGGGGGAAGAGAATGCCCATGGTTCTCTTGAGAGCAGCTGGTGGATTCGAACCCCCGGAGAGCCTTGTGGTTAGCAGTGTTAACACACTACAGACGACCTGGAGTTTGCTTGGACGCCCCACAGGGCAGCTCCAGTCCGTCCTGTAGGGCCGCCTGTGGATCAGAGTAGACGACACCGGCCGTGGGTTTGGAAAGCAGTGAGCACGTGGGGTTGCGTGGACCGTGAGCTTTGACCACAGACTCTGAGGCTCCTGTGCTGTCTCTGCAGTTAGCGACAGGTGTGACAAGCAGCCCGCCTGTGCCCCAACCACCACAGACCACCAGCCGCACCCCAACTACCCAGCCCAGAAGTGTAAGTACGACCCTGTGTCACAGAGGCTGTCAGGGACTTTTCCCTGGCATGCAGAGGACTGTGTGTCTGTGCCTCTTTGTGTCTGTGTGTGTGTGTGTCTCTGTGAGCGCCCACGCTTCTCTGTGTCTCTCTCCTGTTCTCTGGAGTGCTGGATCTTGATTTGTCTCTTCCCATTGTGCCTCTGGTGGCCCCTGCAAACTACAGCAGGAGAAGAGCGTGCAGTTGGGTTTTTGGTGGGCAGTCAGCCTAGTTTCTTCCCTGAGGCGTCCGAGGTTAGCCCCAGATTCTGCAGTTACTGGGCATGCTCACCTGCCCTGCCTCCTGTCTATGCATTCAGTGAGGGCTGCAAGTCACCTCTGGTCATTAGACTGTGATGTAAGTGAGCTAGGCACCTCCCTGCCTCCATCCAGGCTGGTGACCCAGCCGGGCTCTGCCTTCACCGGAGCTGGACAGACTGATGTGGCTTGATTGCACCGTTACTGGATATTCTCAGCATGGTAATAACCAGCTGAACTGCTTTCCAGAAACTTTCCCCAAGAACTCCAGGTCTAGGCATCACGAACGGGTGAGTGTACGGAGGAGAGAGGGGTTCAGAGTTGTGGACTCAGTATGGCCTGCAAGGAGTGTTTCTCAGTCCTCACCCCCAGCCCTGCCTACCCAAGTTCTGCTTCCACTTTGCTCATTGTTGCAAGTGACCAAAAAGAGTCTCTCCTGAGTGAATGCTTGCCTTTAGTTGTGTTTACGGCTCTCTCCACCACTTGTTTTCCAGAGGAGCCCGTGACTAAACAGACCTTTGGACCAGGTGATAAATACAATCTCCACAGCTCTCACCTGGTCCCGGGCTCACACAGCCTGAGCTTTCCCTGAGTTTGTTACGGGATCTCTTGCAGCCAGATGTCGTCACTCTACCTGACGAAATGTTAAAACCATTTATGTTTCTCCTAACTTCTCTGTGGTCTCGTTGGGTAAGGAGTTGTGGCGCCAGCCCGCAGACAGGTGCATGGCGTGAAAAATGGCTAATCTCCTCCGATGCAATTTACCGCCTCTGAAAACTCACCGGAGAGTCAGCTGGGAGTTGATTCTGACTTGACATCACATTAAAACAATTTATCTGAGGCTGTGAGTTGGAACCGACTTGATGCAGGTGTGTGGAATATTTCAGTAGTTTGTTTGGACGTGGTCAGCGAACTCTCACTGGATTTTCATGGTTTACTGGTGGGTCTCTTCAGAGGCAGCCTGTGGGCTCTTCAGTCGCTGATGTGCTTTTTCACACACACCTCACTGACGCTCCTTCGACATCCTTCTTACTTCACAAGCATTTCGTCCCTTTAGTCTCTGAAGCCTCTCGAACTTCCTTTACTTCTGTGATTTCAGGCTTCCTCTCACCTTCACGTCTACGATTTGTGCTCCCGATGAGTCACACTCTGTCGACGTTCCTTTCTGTTTTGTGACTCCCTCCCTTGAGTAGATAAGTAGGATTTGGTCAAAAGTCCATTTTATGAGTTGCTAATAAATTAACCCAGGAAACTGCATGGACTGGGAAGAGGTAAACGGAATGCTGAATTGTGGCGCTTTTCTCCAGTGGCCGTAGTTGAACACAGAAAAGCCTGGCAAGATACAGGCTCAACGCCCTGCTCACGAAAGGCCTTCCTGGGAACCCTGTTCGCTTTCTCACTTGCTATTCTTTGTGAACAAGATGTTTTACTGATTTTCAATTCGGGCCATTTGTTCTGGCCTCTGTGTGCTCCCCACACGTCTGCCCCAGGGCAGTTACGGTGACAGGTAATATTTTACCATCTGTGTTGTTTGGAGCCTTGGGGAAGTTTTCCACCGAGTGGAGGGTGGCTTGCGTCCTGGCGGGGCTGGGCAGGAAGGCTAACAGTCCCCCCTTTGTTTTTCCTTCTCAGACCACTCGCGGAGTAGTAAGTCGGGCTGCTGGAGCAGCAGCGAGGAGAAGCGGGGGTCAGCGCGCTCCGAGCACAGCGCCAGCACCAGCACCAAGAGTCTCCTCCCCAAAGAGTCTCGGCTGGACACCTTCTGGGACTAGGGGCGAATCGTGTCACACCACCCACACCCGCTCAGATTAAACCAACCAGAGCCCAGCAGGAGACAGAGATGCAGTGCGAGCCGTGAGACCCCCCCCTTCAGACTTGAGAATTCCAAGTGCTGAGACTCTGCCTCGCCTGCTGGCCCCAGGGCGCGGGGGGGTGGGCACCCACACTACATCGTGTCCAGCATTGGCGTCCACTACCGGCCCCACACGCCGCCTCCACTTCACGTGTAAATACTGTGCACTGTGGACGCCCCTGGACCGAGAGGACCTTCCCCTTTTTATATTTGTATCCACTCTAACTTATAAAAAGAAAAACAAAAAAAAGTACCAGGACAAAATCCAACAACAGATAGATGCTTTGGTGTTGGAGAAGCGATGATCAGTTTGTCCGTCACCCCGTACATGGAATGCTGGTGGGCTGGGGGTGTGCGGGGGCCTTGCTGTGGTCCCCAGCTCGTCTTCCCCGGAGGCCCATGACACTGGGATCAGGCAGGTCGGCGGCACAGGACCGTGTTATCACAGGCGAGTCAGACCCGGCCCTGGGCCCCCTGTCAAACCCTGCGTCACCATGTCAGAGAGCACGCGTTCTCCAGACCAGAGGGACATGTGGAGAAGTTGGTTCCTTTTGTGTGATTTAAACACTGACTTGACTCCTAAAGGGAAAAAGAAAAATCCTTGTTTACAACAGAGACACACAGGGACAAGCCCCGTTCAGCTCAACTGCAGAGAAGCAGCTAGCAAGGGTCCAGAATAAGCTCAGAAACAAAGCGGAATCTGGCTTGTCTTTCTAGAACCCTTTCAGTCCACTTACCCTTCACCGGAGCTGCAAAGCTTCGCAGAAGCCAGAGTCCGCAGGCAAGGTGCGCACAGAGGGCATTTGAGTCCAGGATGAAGCATGTATGTATTATTTATATGATGGAATTTTACGTTTTTAATGTAAGCATGATATCCAGGCAGTATGAGAGTGAGCGAGCCCCCCACCATGCTGTCGGTGACACTACGTATGTGTAGTCCCACGTTGTATGTTGTGTAAAACGGAAACCATGGAACAAAAGCGAGAAGATGATGTATGTATATGAGAACATTGTACGATATCACTCCAGTACATTTTTGGTGTACATTTTAGTCTCGTTTACTTTCTCTTCATTGTTGATAAGAGGATGAGGACTGTACAGTTTCCAGCTAGTTACCCATATTAGAGAAGAAATAAAAAGAGAGTATTAGAAGAAACCAAGAGGAAAAAAAAAACAAAAAGAACATTTGTGAATTGCAGTTGTCAAAACAAACAAAAAAATAGCCTAGCTGGCCTTATTTGTGAAGCATAATTGCTTTTAGCATATGGAAGTATTTTTTCACATTTTCTTTGTATAAAATTTGTATTAAACTTAAATATCTTTTTTGATGATGGTGTTTCTTTGTGACTAAGGCATACCTTCCTTTCTGGTCTTCTCTAATTTTTTCCCCCTTCAGACCCACTCACCTTTTTTTAAAATTAAACTGTTTGGGGTCCTAGGTGGCCCCATCAGACACGGGAGCGGGGGATGAGAGAGAACATAGAAACACATCCACGCGTGCGGGCACACACCTTGTGGAAGGTCCCCACAGCCACTGTTCTGGGGAAGTCAGTTCCTTGGAGTTCAATGTTTTTAAAAAATATTTATTTACTTCTTGGGAAATTATTAAGTACCTGCCACGTGCCAGACATGGGACCAGTCCTTTTCCTTGACATGTTTACTAAGATTTTGAAAAATTTTAATAGCTAAAATAGTTAATCACAATTTACTGTTTCAACCAGTCCGAAGTTACAATTCAGTGACACGTACCACTTTTTTTTTTTAAAGGAAGACTTTATTGTCTTTGGGTAGCACGGACAGAGCCCACAGCCTCTTAAGCGTCAGCTCCGCGTTTGTCGTAACTCATTTGAGGGGTTTTGTGGGGGGTTTCATAGTTCATGGAAGCACAGTATCCATGAGTGGCAGTATTTAGGTACCAGTCTGTCACCTACCTAGCTCAGAGGTGACATCTCCATGGGATTTCAGCACCTACATGGAAGGGCAGCCCAGGACGATGGTCTTGGGGAGTCCTCTAGTCTCTCATGGTCCAGTATGCCCTGTTCTTTCAAATGATTCTATTAAAACACACTTTTGCCCTGCCCTTTCAGATTTTCAATGTTGCTGAGAATCTACACAACAGAACATAGACCAGTTCAGCAGTTTCCGCCGGCACAGTTCATCGCCCTGATTATACTCTTCTGCACTATCCTTACCCTAAAGGTGTCCCTCCCCTGTGGACAGACACTCCTGCTCCCTAAGTTTCCTATCTAATCCGTCCAGTTGCTGTTGTCCATTGGATCCCATATTGTTGCTATGTGCCGCTGAGATAGAGTGACACAGAATGGGTTACGGACAGCAGGCTGGTGCTGGATTAGAAGGGCTGTTCTGATTCAGAAGGTTGTCGAGTCAGTACTGACGGGACAGCACCTCACAGGTTCTTGTTACGTATTGAGTCAGAACCAGCTCATAGTGGGTTTTCAGAGGCAGTAAATTACACGGGAGATTGCCCATCCTTTGAGGCAATTGGTGGATTCGAACCACTTGCCTTCGGGATGTCAGAGCAATTCCTTACCACTAAACCGCCAAGACCTATTGCATTTTAAAACAATCACAGTAAGTGGATATTGTTGCTTCTCTGGGTAATAATGTGCTTCTCTCTTCTTTATCTGGGCCTGGAACATCTTGTTAAGGAGCCTTCCTGACAAATGGTTAAATGTCCTGCTGTGAGCCAGAAGGTTTCTGGTTTGAATCTATCATTTCTCATGGGAGAAAGACCTGGTGAGCTGTTCCTATAAAGATTACAGCTTAGAAACCCTCCTGGTCAGTATACAATTTGGGGGTGACCAGCTCAGTATCACTAGGGAAAGGAGAGAGGCAAAAGAAATACAAAGGCAAACCATCGTTCCATACAGAATCCTGCATCATCAGTTATGACCAGCGTGAGTAAAGTAATAAATGCCTTTCGTGGCCGCACTGAATATCCACAAATGAGCAAACTGGCGTGACAACTTCTCGGTGTCACTTCTCAAAAAGGAAAGAACATGGAACCTCCAGGTAGTAGGCCACCGGGAATCCTGCCTCTGATGTTTGGGCTTTTGTGCCCCTGTAAGGGGAGAGAGGAGAATGGGTGGGTGGGCGGTCTGCTCCCTGTTCTTGCAGGACAAGGGCTGGTCTGCAGCCTGGATGTCCAGGGCGGGTTCTGCTGGGAGCGGCCTCTCCAGCCCCCTGGTGGCCGTCACGCTGAACTGGAGCCCGGTCTGATTGGTGGCACAGCTGGTTTGCTGGGTGCTCTGCATGCGACTGGCACAGGGACGCAGCCTTTTAATAACAAATCCTGTCCTCTCCACTCTGCACCTCTCCCTACAGAGTCGCCAGATACAGTGACACCCGGGAGAACCAGGTCGCCATCAGCTTGCCTTGTTCTTTGGGTCCTGCAACTTTCCCTCTGCTGACAGAATGCAATGTTAGCACTTTTATTATTATTAATTTTAATGAAACTTTACAGAGACTTTGGATTTCCATTCATTTATTGTTGCACTTTTCTCCCCCACCCCTTCTCTCTTCTCTTTGAAAAGTAAAACTCTTTCATTGTTATGCAATCCCTTTTCCCAAGTCCACTCCACTATGCAGCCTTTGTTCTGGACTCCTGTCATGACAATAATACCTAATCATACATCCCTTTTAAACAGTTTTATCTCTCATCTGTTTCCATGCACCATACATTATTTATCCCATCTTTCTCAGTCTCCCCCCAACCCTGATGTCAGTCCCATTTTATAACGGCACTATGCAGTATCTGTCCTTTTGCGACTGAGATATTTCACTCAGCATAATGTCCTCCAGGGTCACCAATTTTGTATACTATTTCATGAGTTCTCTTTTTCAAAGCAGCATAATATTCCAGTGTGTGAATCCAGTCGTTTGTTGATGTACACTTAGGTGGTTTCCACTTCTTTGCTATTGTGAACAAAGCTGTGATAAACATGGGTGTGTAATGTTAACACTTTTTTGCCATCCTCCAGTGGTGAACTATTTGCTCTTCCCTTCTCTGACCGGTTCCTCATTCAGGTTCCAGCTTCTGTGGTGGGTACTGCACACACACCCACACAGCCATGGGGCGGGCTGGGGCTGGAGGTCCACCCAGCAGGGGTGGGGTGGGCTGGGCTGGGGAGGTGCAGGACGCTGGGCAGCCTCCCACGTGTGCCTTTGAGTAGGAGGCGGGGACTGAGCCGAGACATCCTTAGTTGAGTTAATACGGGTCTTAACTGTGAGCTACCTGAATGTTAGAAGCACTTGGGAAACTAAAAACAGACCAATAAATGCCCAAATGTCCCCTTACCCCTTAATGACATCCGTTTGTTACTGTTTTTATGCACCATCGAGCTGGAACTGACTCCACGGGGTTTTCAGAGAGAATTAGTGACAGGGGAGGAGATTGCCCATCTTTCTCCCACAGAGCAGCTGGTGGATTTGAACCATGAGCCTTTGGATTGGCAGTGCAACACCTTACCACGAGGCCACCAGAGCTCCCTTCAGTCTTTCTAGTACCTTTTAAAGTCCTGAGGGATCACCAGGGTGGAGACCACCAGGCAGAAAGGAAAGAAAGGTACACAAGTGGGTACTCTGGCGTTTGCAGGAGGACAAGGTAGCCAGCAGGGCCAGAGTGGGGGGTCAGGTGGGTGGGCGAAGCGGTGTGATGGGGACAGATGGGAGGGAGGCCTGAGAGTGTCGATCACGTGTCCTGTGGGCTTATGGGATGTTCTGAATCTAGGTCCTTCACGGATTTTGATCCTTTGCACCATTTTCTTTAATCCAGTGACACAGGGCCACCTCTGCATTTCCGAGTGTCACTAATGTGCTGAGCCCCTCGCTGATGGCGTCCCATCCTGAATCTTTTGGTCTTCATAACTTCTTGAGACAGGTACTTTGAGAAGGTAGCCTGGGTGGGTCATCGGTGCTGGGGGGGTGGCAGCAGCTTGCAGGTTCCTGTGCCCCAGTGTCCCCTTGCTCTCCTCGGCTCTGTCTGCCCAGCTCTTCTCTACTCCTAGCTGTGAGCCCAGACTCGCCCCTGGGTGTCTGTGGAGGAGCAGGGGACACTTGCTTCTTAGATGGCCCAGAGGTGACTCCAGCTCTACCTTCTGGGCCGCCACTTCCTCCCCCACCTGTGTCAGTCTAACTTCCATAATCAGGTTCTATCCTCAGCACATTTGGGACATATGGTCCTTGGAGGAAGCCTCATGTTGGGAAAGGTCAGGGAAAGAAGGCAAGACCCTCAGCGAGACAGATGGACAGTGACTGTAACCAGGGGCTTGAGATTATCAGAGATCAGAAGATGGTGCAGGACGGGGCAAGGTCCAGCTCGGGTCGCTCTGGGTCACAGTCGCTTCCATGGGTCTTTTTTTTTTTTAAATTTTTTAATTATTATTATTTGTGTGTGTGTACCGTCAAATCGGATCTGATAGGTACAGGAGGAGATTGTCCCTCCTTTTCCCGGCAGAGCATCTGGTGGATTTGAACCGTGCGCCTCTGGGATTGCAGTGCAGCTTCTTGCCTCTAGGCCACCAGAGCTCCCCTGCCTCCATGGTTCTTAACAACAACAGCATCCCGAGCTCAGTGCCCTGGTCTCTGCTCCCTACCTAGACCCTGCCGCCACATCCATGTATTTCAGCAATCACCCTCAGGTGGTCTAGGGCTCAGAGGGCGGTGGGCTGGCCTTGTGCGCCTGGATGATATGGGAGCTGGATGAGGGTCACACGGGCAGAGACGTCACCTCACATTCAACCCAACCAAACAACGCACCCCACAGCCATCGACTGAATTCTGACCCACAGGGACCCACAGGACAGAGAGGAGCTGCACACGGATTTCCAGGTTGTAAAGCTTTCAGGTGACAGACTGCCCCAACCTTCTCCTGTGCAGTGGCTAGTGGGTTTGAACCACTGACCTTTTTAGTTAGCACCTTAATGAAAGCCTTAACTACAGAGCTCCCGGAACAGCACACAGCCAACCAGGATTCACTGACTATCCTTTTTGGACCAAAGAGTAACATTTTAAAGTCTTCGTTTGGCCGGACCTGGATCTTCTCATCCTAGCACGTAATGTCTGGATGTAAGAATAAACGCTTACCGCTTTTCAAACAACTTTAAGTGCTGTTGTAAAGTATATTATTACAAAAGTGGAAGCAATCATTTTTTTTTTTTTGTCCAGAGGTGGGAAGAAGCATTCTCCCAGCCCTGCAGCTGCCAGCGTCTTTGTCCTGCACAGTGTCCCCCAGGTCCCAGTGTGGACGCCATCTCCGCTGTGGTTCGGGGGAGGAAGAACCTGTAACCAAGCCTCCAGGGAGTGAGGGCCCCCACTGCTGGTGACACTGCCACCAAGTCCAGGCAGACCTTTGGTTTCAGATTGTCCCAGTGAAGCCTGTCTGTCACTCACACTTTTTTTTGTTTGTTTCCCAATGCAGGATGGACAATCACTTCCTGTGCAATTTACAGCCTCTGAAAACCCACTGGATGGTCAGCTGTGAGCAGGTTCTGACTCCACAACATTCAACAACAACAGAGCATATACGTTATGTTTGTTGTTGTTGTGAACCATAGAGTCGGAACCCTTTGGCAGGTTTTTAGCTGACTCTCTAGCAGGTTTTCAGAGGCAGTTAATTGCCCTTAAGGAGATTGCCCATCCTTCTCCCATGGAGCAACTTGTAGCCTTGAACCACAGGCCTTCAGGACTGCAGCGCAGCTTCTTGCCACGAGGCTACCAGAGCTTCCTAGAGTCCTTTAAAAGTCCTTTAAAAGGACTACGGTGTGCCTGACCCACGCCATGATATTTCACCTGCTTAATATGCATGTGGAAACGACAATGATTAAAGCAGACAGAATTGACGCCTTTGAATTGTGGTGTTGGAGAAGAGTACTGAACGCCCCGTGGACTGCCAGGAGCACAAATAACTTTCTTGGAGAATGTGCAATGAGGGAGCAAGGAGGGCAAAATGGGACACTTTGGACATGTTGTCAGGAAGGTCCAGTCCTTGGAAAAATGACATCATGCTGGGAAAAGTGGGAGATCGGTGGAAGAGAGGAGGGCCTGAATGAGATGGACCAACACAGTGACCGTGACAATGGACTTGAACATGGAGAGACAGGAGGATGGTGCAGGAGAGGGTTCCGATTTGTCGTTCATTCTAGTCAATTCAGTGACACCTCGCCTCCTGAGAATGTCCGAAACATTGCGGCTGATCAGTGAGAGACAGAGCCATGGAGCCAGGAGGACTGTTGGGAAAATGGCGCTGAAAGGTTGCCACAAAAATGCTTCGATTTGCAGCAAATGCAATAGCTGCAAAGCTTGTGAAAGAAGTGCAATAAAATGAGGCATCCGGTGTAAGGTGCAGCCAGGTTATGACTTCTCGGGGCTGAACGCACTGTGGATGAGGCTTTAAACCCTGAAGCTTGGGCACAGCTGGGAGAAGTTGCATCTAGGATCCTTTCACTGGCACCTTCCCACATTGCCTGTTTCCAGGTCCACGGACAGTGGCCCTGCAGGGAGCGCAGCTTGTGCCAGCTGTGGGGTCGCACTGCCCTCTGGTGGTCATTGCTGAGCACTGCTGCCCAGGCCAGGCTCTTGCATCACTAAGGGCTCAAAACACTTGGAGAAAGAAAGGGGTTTTGGTACCTTGAATTCCTTTTTACACAGGAATGATACATGCAACAAGAAGGATGCCTCTCCAAACTAGCACAAATGAAAGAAGCCAGCCATGCAAGAGTACATTCAGTAGAAGTCTGTTTAAGCAGACCCTCTAGAACCTGCCACACTATCTGTCCTGGGCCCTCTGTGGGCAGCAAGGTGTCTTCAGAACTTCTCCGATGCCCCTTCCTGTCTGGGAATGAAGGCGCATAGGAGCAAGTCATCGGATCACCTGGGTTCAGCTATGAATGACGCAGCTGTCATCTAAAGTCCCAGAGACAACTGTCTTTCTTTTTCCCGTAAGCCACTTAAGAGTTAGAATTTTTATTCTCTAACAGTTGACAGAATCTCGAGACAGACCAACACACTTGAAAGCAGCCACGCTCGACCCGCCTCCAAAATGTAAACGTGGTTTTATTGAACGCCTTTCATCCCTCACAAAGCACTGTTCCCTTCCCAGCATCCCCCTCGCCCTGGACAACAAGATGGCAGCTTAAGGCACGTGCACTGTCCACATGTCAGGCAGGATCTCTGACAACAAGAATAAGCAATAGTCTCCCCGACAGCCCCCATCGCCTCCCTCACTAATGTCCAAAGAATGATTGTCCCCCCAAAAGCACAACTTAGAGAAAAGAGTGCTTAAATAGAACAGTGAACCACCCCACATGCCACTTTTGGGTTGTGTTTTTTTTTAAAAAAAAATCAAACCGATGACTAAGAAAACCAAGAACACGGGTACAAGAGCGGAATCCTGGGGGATGCAAGTAGTCCATAAATTAAAGAGGAAAAACCCAAACCCTGTGCTCCACCCTCCCCACCGGTGTGACCACCCCCACCCAGTAACTCCTTGCTCTTGTGCTCGAAGTCTTGAGAAAGTCCTGGGCCCGAGCCGGCCCTCTTCCCTCTTCCCCAACGTCAAACATGCCGAACCCGATGTTGGCTGGCTGTTTCTCGGGAGCCTCGTCTAGATGGGAAGAAAAGCCTCCGAGATGTTACATGTCTGATGGTCTGGGGTTCAGTGTTCTGGGTGGGGAGGCGGGAAGATGGGGGTTGGGTGGTGGGGTGACAGCCGGTGACATGGAGAAGCCCCTGCTGGCTCTGCTATAAATACTCCAGCTCCAGAGCGTGCCGCAGGGCCTCGAGGTCTGCATGGCAGGATATTCGCCAGAAAGGCATGTTGTGCTGGAAAAGAAAACCAAGAGCACAGTCAGCGGTGGGGGGGGAGAAGAAGAGAGAGAGACAGAGACACAGAGAGAGAGAGACACACACAGAAAGAGACAGAGAGACAGAGTCACACAGAGAGGCAGAGACATACAGTTAGAAAGAGACAGAGAGAGACAGAGACACACACACAGAGACAGAGAGACAGAGACACAGAGAAAGACACACACACACAGAGAAAGAGAGACAGAGATAAAGAGAGAGAGACAGAGAAAGAGACAGAGGCAGACAAGAGAGAGACAGAGTGAGAGAGACAGGGATGAGAGACACTGATTTTTGTATAATGACCTGGTCTTTGGAACCTAACGGTGCTGAAAGGTGACGAGTGGGTGCATTAGTTACTGACCTCACTGCCCAATGGGATAATTCTTCTCAGCATCAGTGTGTATAAACTCAGTTCCTGTGGAGGCCCTTGTTTGCCCCCCACAGCCTTGTTCCTGTCCGTGGGGGCACATAGGGTCTGAGTCCCCCCAACAACATGCACTGCAAGTCATGACTGTCCCCGGCCGTGCCCCAGCAGGTAGGATACCATCAAGACAACCTCTTCTGATGGTAAAAGCGGGGAAGGAAAGAAAGAGGGAGGCCAGAAAGCAGTCTGTGTGCACGTGTCCACTTTCCATGGGTGGGTCCAGAAGGCTGTTTTTACTGGGTCGATTTGACTCACAGTGACCCTATGTTCCCCAGCAGAACTGTGCCCTAGATCGCCTAGGCTGTAATCGTTGAGAAGCCACTGGATGGGTTTGAACTCCAGAACTTCTAGTTAGCAGCCAAGTGCCCAGATTGTGTCTCATCCACTAAATCAGCTGCAGCATTTTTTAATAAAGACTGAACCTCGAGATTCTGCAGGGTCTCCCCAGCCCAGAAAGCCCACACCGCAATAAAGCCAGCCACCTGAACCTTCTAGTTTCCTGGTGCATGTCAAAGTCAAGTTCACACTATTCTGTGGTCAATTAAGCATGCACCAGCATGATGAAAAGGTATGAGATACTCTTAAAAAAAAAAGTACGAAATACTCTGAGTGGCCAAAACAGGACACAGAGACCCAAAGTGGGCATGTGCTTTTGGAAAAATGGCATCAATAGACTTGCTCCAGGCAGGGGTGCCACCAATTTTTACACATCTAAAAAAACGTAGCATCTATGAAACACAGGAAAGTGAACTGAGGTAAAATGAGGTTCATTTGCCGTGAGAAAATGAGCACAGGAGGAGGGGGAGGGCTCTTCCACGCCGGGCTCAGAGGCTCCGGAGCCCATGGATTTATCACTCCCGGTGAAGCAGACACAGTGAACTGGAGACGTTAACACCGCCAGCAGGGCTCAGCCCAGCCCTGGTCCCCTCGGCGTAGTTCATGCTGCTCAGGTGTCCAGAGGCCTGGGCTAATGGCTCCCATCCATCAGGCTGGACAGCAGCCAGGACAGCCTGTTGACCTGCCGGACCTCTGCCTCTGAAGCCCCGGCACGCTGACATTTAGGGGTGCTGAGTGAGGGATGCCCTCATCTTCCTTGGTGGGCTCGGGTGTGTGTGGACTGTTTGAGGTCCCCACCGCCTCCTTCCCGCCCCTCCAGGTGAAGGCAGGGGATTTCCCATGAACCAGCTGTGTTAGCCTCTCTGAGCTTCAAATCCACCGTCTGTAAAATGGGATGTGACAACAGCCACGTAGCAGGGGGCATTTGTGGGGATGATGCTAGTACTAAGGGGAAGAGCTTGGAGGCCTGAGGACAGGTGGAGCACCCTGGCCAGCTCGAGGCCTGCGTGTCAGCGGCTCTTGCCATTGGCCCTTCTCTTTCAGAAGGAAACCCTAAATCTCACTGGGCACGAGGCTGCTGACAGGACAGCCTCCTTCTCCCAGCTTCCCTTGAAGCGAGTGGAATCCTGGGATAAAAATCTGGTCAGCGGCGGACAGGTGACAAGGACTACACGGTGAGCACACGCAGGACTGGCAGGTGTTTCTGTACACTCGGGTACCATATGCTGTAATGCATCCACACATGTAGCCCAGCCAACAGGATGCAAAGTTACGAAACTCCTTAATCACATAAGCACGTGGGGAAGGAGCCCCTGGTCCTGGAGCCTTGAGACCATGCTCCTGGGGGGCATCGAGGCCAACTGGCCTAACATAGTCCACAGAGAGAGAGCTCTGGTGGCCTAGTGGTGAGGAGCTGCACTGCCAACCCAAAGGCGTTTGGTTCAAATCCACCAGCTGCTCCTTGGGAGAAAGATGGGTTATCCCCTCCTGTGTGATTTACAGCCCTGAAAACCCACTGGTGGGTCGGCTCTGAGTTGGTTCTGACTCGACGGTACAACAACAACAGTCCGTAAAGAGAATGGTCTACATCCCACGTTGGTGAACAGTAACAGAAGACTTTTTCTTTTTTCAATTGAGGTCTTAAAAGTTTGTGAACTGCACACCCATGTTTATTGGGGCTTTGAGCTGGAAACAACCCAAGTGGCCATCAACAAATCAATGGACAGAGAAGCTGTGGTATAGTCAACAATGGAATACTACGCAGCAGTGAAAAACAAGGAACTCATGAAATACTATGCTAACTGGATAACAGAGATGACATTATGCTGAGTGAAATATCTCAGTCATAAAAGGACGAATATTGCATAGGGCCACTATTGTAAAACAGGACTGACATTGGGGTTGAGGGAAGGCAGAGAAGGAGGGGAGGAATGATGTGTACTGCACTGAAACAGATGAGGGAGAGAACTATTTAAAAGGAATATATGATTAGGTATTATTGTCATGACAGGAGTGGAGTGGACTTGGGGGGAGGGATTACATAGCAATGAAAGAATTTTTCTTTTACTTTTCAAGGAGAAAAGTGAATTGGGGGGAGGGGGTGGGCCGGGTGAAAAGTGCAACAATGAATGACTGGAAACCCTAAGTCTCTGTAAACTTTCATGAAAAATAATAATAATAATAATTAAAAAAAAGCTTGTGAGCCACATCTGAAATGCCACCATTGTTCTCTCCCATCAGAATCAGAGGAGACGGAAGCAAAGCTGCACAGAAACATCTAGCGCAGAGGCCTGAAAACTCGAGCTCGTCGTCATTGAGCCGACGCACGGCCGACTGTCCAGCATGGCCTGTCTCTCCCCCTCGGAGCAGCTGGTGGACTCGGACCCCACCTGGGGGTCGCCAGTGCTCCAGCGTCTACCATCCTGAACCGCAAGACCCAGATGGTGCCTCACTACCACTGCTGGGCACGCTTCCAGGCGTCACAGGACCAGGTTTGGGATGGAAGGGGCCAAAGTGTAGAATACAACTCAAAACCACCAAAAGGGCCCAGCTTTCTGGCCTCGTGGGCACTGGCGGAATCCCTGAGAGACGATGGCCCCCAGTCCCCCTTTGAGGCTGGGACAAAACTCAACCCCACGGTCCGAATTTCAGCCTACCAATAGAAGGTCTATAAGGGGATCAAAAACACCACTGAGGAACTCACTCTTTAGAAAAGTCAACTACAGGAGTCAGAAGAGCAGTGTATGCCCAAGGGTACAGCTCAGAGGCCAGCAGGGGTAGAGAGGATTAATGCAACAGGAGTCACAGGAAGGAAGCGAGATGAGTGTGATCACATTGTGGGTACTATAATGAATGTAAAACAAAGTGTGGACGTGAACGACTGAATGAGAAGCCCAGTCTGCTTTGTAAACTCTCACCCAAATTATAATAAAAACATGTAGCCAATGGGACTTGGCAGTAGAGCCGTCTGCTGAGACTGTGCTGTGTCCTGTCTCCTGCTGGACAGAATGTGGACACACAGTGTGGGAGCATCTTGGCCCTCACGGAAAAAGTGGCATCATGGGGCTAGTGGTGCAATAAGAGAGAAAGAGCCAGGGCAACTCCACCCCCATGAGCCTGGGCACCCCACCCCCACGAGCCTGGACACCCCCTCCATGAGCCTGGACACCCCTTCCATAAACCTGGGCACCCCAACCCCATAAACCTGGACACCCCACCCCCATGAGCCTGGACACCCCCTCCATGAGCCTGGACACCCCCTCCATGAGCCTGGACACCCCCTCCATGAGCCTGGACACCCCCTCCATGAGCCTGGGCACCCCTTCCATAAAGCTGGGCACCCTCTCCATGAGCCTGGCAACCCCACCCCCATCAGCCCGGCAACCCCACCCCCACGCGGCCACAGCATCCTGGGCAGTGCGCACTCCTGCTGACCCGAGGACAGAAATAAACCTTTTTGGTGTTTGAGTGGCGGGTGGCATCTCTAGCCCCATGAAGAATCAATGAACACCTCAAGAACGCTCTCAAGGACCTGCAGCAAATACACCAGTGACAGGAGACGAACCGGAGGCTGCCAGCCCTGTGCTCCCGCCACTTCCTATCGCCTCTTCTTCCCTCCGCAGTGACACACCAGCCCCTCAGGAAACGTGGAGCCTGTGGCCTTTCGTGTGTCCTGGTTTGACTGTCTGATCCTGTTCCCTCCCTTCCTAGTCTCTCTCAGACTCCACCTCATGGAGAGACCAGCGTTGGTCACCACTGACACTCGGAACCTGTCCCTCCACGGGACCCCTCTCTGGTCCCTCCAGAGCACCTATCACCCCACCACACACATATTTAGCTTATGTATCTGTGACCTGCCCCCAGCATCCCAGTGCCTGGAAGAGCGCTGGGCACAGAGCAGGTGCTCGGCTGGCGGAGCAGACGCATGAGCTGACGCAGTGTCACTGTGGGAGCATCAGCCACGCAGAGGACCGTTCCGTGCTAGAGGGGACAGCGGCTGGAGAAGGTGCAGGGACAGGGTGGGGAGGGCTGCACAGGCCGGTCAGGGATTCCGTCCTGGACATGGTGCTAACAGCAAGGCTGAGGAGGAAAGAGCAGGCACGAGCTGGACGTGGGGGGCCTCCCAGGCTGAGCAAACAGGGGCTACAAAGACCCCTTCCCTCTCCTCTCCGAGCCCCTTGCTCAGGACCCTCAGTCCCTCCCGCTTCTTGTGAGTTTTCAGACCCAGAGATCTTTGACATCTCTGAATTTCCCTGGGATTTGCTGCGAGTCAGGAAGGGGAAGCCAGGCTCCCCAAATTAAGCTCTGTGACATTAACAATCCACTTCCCAGGCCCCTGCATGGAGGTGGCAGGGCCTCTGGGATGCTGTTGACAGAACCAGACCAGGCAGCTGTTTCTTTTTCTAAGAACAGGGCTGAGGCCACCAGGGCCCTCCCCTGTCCCTCTCCTCACGAGCCCGACATCACAAATGCAGGATTTTCTTTTTCATTAGCTTAATGCTGTCTTTATTAACTGGGAAAGTTTCCTGGAACACGTGATCGGCGAGGATGAAATAAAACACACACACGTGCGGCCCACCCCCAGCCTGCCCAGCATCCCAGAAAGAGCCCAGAGCTTCCAGCGGCAGCGGCCAGAGGCCCCGGTGGATTTGCAGAAGGAAATGACTCAGGACGCTTCTGTGATCTGCACATGGGAGTGGACTGGCCAGCACAGAGGCCGGGACAGAGAAGAGCCTGTGCCTGGGAGCCGGGATCTGCCATTCCTGACAGTAACGATGCCGGCCTGGAAGGCTGGGGGGACAGGGAATTACCTTCTTGGCCCCTTGCTCCTCTTCCACGCCGTCCCCGATGACGATGTAGACAGCTTTCCGGCCAAATCGCTGCATTATGCGCTCGAAGCAGCTCTCTTTGCCTGCAACATGGAGAAGGAGAGAGAATGCAGCGTCCGGTGGACCTGGAGGGAAGCTGGCCTGTCCATCTCACAGGAGGCCCTGGGGGTCAGGGCAGAACTGGCTCCATGCCGTTTTCAGTGACTGCTGCCCATGGGTAGAATTGAACTTCCAACCTTTCAACTAGCAGCTAAGCACACTACTATTTGCATCACCCAGAGACTCTTCTACTTGGGTACCTGTCTCCTCCCTCAACAAAAGCAAACCCAGTACCCCTGAATGAATTCTGATTCCTGGGGACCCGTGACTGAGTTCCATGGCTACAGATCTTAAACAGAAAGAGACTGACCATTTGTTTTCTGCAGAGCAACCAGTGGATTCGAACTGTCCACCTTCCAGTTAACAGTCTAATGGGTGACCCCCTACGCACAGGGGTTTGTCCCCTCTGGGGTCAAAATTTACACTGCTGTTGAGTTGAAACCGACTCCTAGTGACCCTCGGGCAAGCGGTAAATCACATAGGAGGAGACTGCCCATCTTTCTCCCTTCAGAGCTGTTAGTGGATTTGAACCCCCGAGAGAAGTGTGGCCTTGGGGTTAGCAGTACAACTCCCTGTGGACAACTGCAAAGGGAAGCATTGTAATTATCCTGTGTGTTTTAAATCCTAACCTCTGTGATGCTAATGAGGAAGGATTTGTGGCAGTTAAATTAATGAAGGACATAATCTACAGGATTAGGTTCTATCTCTAGTGACAGATAAAACACATGCCTCAAGTATGTCTAGTGACAGATCTCTTTCGATATATAGAAGAGACTAAACAAGTGAGCAGAGACCATAGGCATCTCTCTATCTCTATTCCAGGAGCAGAGAGCATTCTTTGGATCCAGGGCCCCTGTGCTGTGAACCTTCTACACCTGGAAGACGACTCATGTCAAGACACCTGGGGCTCTACAAAATAGCCAAGCTCATAATTACTCCAATATGAGAACCTTCTTCCAGAACCAACACAGAGGGAAAGCTTCCCCCAGAGGTGGCCTTGAATTAGAATTTCTCTGGTGGCCTAGCCCCAAGGGAGGTGCAATGTTAACCCAAAGGCAGTTGAAATCCACCAGCAGCCCCACAAAAGGAAGACTGGACATCGCCTCTCACACAATTTACAGCCTCAGAAACCCAATGGAGGGTCAGCTAGGAGTCAGTTCTGACTCAAAGGCAACGAAACTGTGAGAAAGTAAATTTCTGTTTGCCACAGTCATCCACTGGGGGTATTTCTGCCACTTCACTAAAACACGGGGCCATTGCACCGGCCTGGATCACTTGCTTCTGGTCTGTTACATGTGTGAGAAATAACCTTCGGATCTTATTTATGCCTTTGTACTGGGGAGTGTTTTGTTTATTACAGCAGCTTTGCTTACAACATAACCACTACACATTTGAAAAATATAAGCCTAATCAGTTTCACTGGAAACAGAAGAAAAAGCAAGTAACTTGGTTGTGAGGACTCTTTTGGGGGTCTGATGCCTTTAGACGAATTCCTTAACCTTCCCGTACCTGGGATGGAAAGCTAACACCCCCTACCCACCCCAGCCCCTGCATCCCCCTGAGATGTGGCTTCTCCTACCTGTCTTGGTTGCACTGTAGATATTTTCAATAGGAAACACAGAGCCCAGTCCGTACAGCAGGACTTTGGCCAGGGCAGGAATTAGTTGAGTGGTGGTGACCAGCACGTTGACACAGTTGGGTCTGAAGATAAATGAGGTTGGAGATCAGAACTTAGAGGTACAGGAGCAGATCTTACAGCAAGAGCCTGGAGCAGGTGGGAATTCTAGTGCTCTGACTACATGACCTCCATATGAAGTACAGTGTCAGACACATGGCAGGCACTTCCAAATCCAGTCTTGGACGGGTGGATGGATGGATAGACAAAGGCAGGGAGACAAAACGGGGTGCTGGGTGGGCTCATGGCTGGCTGGAGAAGCAGGCTCTGGAGGTCAATTTCAGGTGAGGGCAGGACCCAAAGTTCCTCTAATTCTTCTCTTTTTTTAAAAAATTAATTTTAATGAAAGTTTACAGAGACTTAGGGTTTCCAGTCATTCATTGTTGCACTTTTCTCCCTGCACACCCCCTCCCCCAATCCATTTTTCTCCTTGAAAAGTAAAAGAAAAACTCTTTCATTGCTATGCAATCCCTCCCCCCAGGTCCACTGCACTGTGCAGCCATCAGTCTGGACTCCTGTCATGACAATAATACTAATCATATATCCCTTTTAAATAATTCTCTCCCTCATCTGCTGCAATGCAGTATACATCATTCCTCCCCTTCTTCTCTGTCAAGGCTACAGCTTGCCGGACATGCAATGTGGATGGAAAATCTTTCTTATTTAAAAAAATACATGCTTATTGCAAGGGCTGCACATAGACAAAGCCGGAGGGACCAGACAGATAATGTAAATGAAGGCTATGGGACAAACGGAGGGCAGCAGGGAAGGGTAGGGACTGGAGTAAACTGGAGAGCATGTACTTGTTTGGATCTATTGAGAATCCAGAACCCTGGAGTTAGGTGTGAACTGTCCTAGTCTTCAGAACAAAGGGAGGGGCAAATACACTAACCAGACAGTATGGATTCAGCCCATCCATCGGCCACCATACTGTATTCCTTTATTTGCTGAGTCACATGAATTTTCAATGTTCTAACAGGGAAATCATCTGTTCTCTAGATGATCTTATTAAGAATGAGAGGCAATTTGTTGGAATGAAAAGAATGAAAATTGGCTGTCTTGTGTTGACTGGAATCCACTAAGTGATCTGAGACATCTTGTAAAATTGTTAGCAGAACTGAGGCTGTGACTGGTGGATATTCTGGGCCAGGAGTGTATGGGATGAGGGGCTTATGTATGGACCCTGAGAAATTTCAACTTACTTATTTGTTCGGCTGTGCCCAGAGGTGGCCACTGTGCCATGCCCACCTCAACTTTATCAAACTGCTATAAAATGTGCACATGAGAATTAAGAGTTCCCTCTCTCTGACTACGGAGATGGAGGGGCCACCACCCCACCTGGGAGAAAGCTCAGTGATAGGCAGGAAAACGGGGGCCCAACCTTACCGGGAATTGATGAGGTTCAGTGCCTTCAGGGAGTGGGTCAGCCAGAGGTCAGTCAGTGCTTCCAGCTCGGCTCGGAGCTGCAGCCAGGTCTCTCTTTTGGGAGCACCTATCAAGCCTGTGGACAGAGGAAATGAAGGCGTGAGTGGCCATGTTCACATGGTTTCCGAAGGCCTGTGATTTCAGAAGTGGCTAGCCAGTCTTGCTTCTTAAAATGACCAGTCCATTTTAGGGGGAGGGAAGGGAAGTCTGGCTACTGCACTGAAGGTTCAAATCATGTGATCCCCTCAAAGGCCAACTTCAATCCTTAAAGGCTCTTTCAATCTTCTCTTGGGATTAATCCATTAATCCATTTATAGATTCACTGATCCATTTACTGAGCCAATCTCCTCTCCAAACTCATTCATCCATCCATCCATCCATCCATCCATCCATCGACCCACCCACCCAGTTACCGTCCGTCTATCCATCCACCCATTCACTCACGTATTCATCCATCTACTGACCCATTCACCTCTTCAAATCACCTGATTCACCTATCCATCCATCTATCCGTCCATCTATCCATCCATCCATCGACCCACTCACTTCCATCCGTCCATCCTCTAACCCACTCACTTCTCTTACCCACCCAATGACAAACCTACCTGCCCATTCACCCATTCATCCATTGACCCACTCAAGCTTTTCTCCCTCTCCACCCGTCCATCTTACTCACCCGATGACTCACCTATCCAGCTTCCATACCATCTACTTCCTCACCCACTATCTGCTCTCCCCTCCCTCCCTGCCTCCATCTATCCAACAGAGAACTCAAGAGTTCCTGCGTGTGGCTGTGACATCCAGTGACGAACAAGACCTGGAGATCGCAGCACCCCCACTGCTGTGGTGCAGACTGAGACTTAAAGTAAAACGTACTAATGACTAACATTCACTGAGTGCTTATTACAGGTGGGACCTCGTGCTTTTAATGTGTTTTCTTTCACTCTAGTAAAAAAAATGGTTGAGGGTTATTGTTTTTTTTGGTTTGTTTGTTTTGTTTTTAGCATATACAATGGCTTGGCTCCATAGTCAACAGTCCTGGCACCAGCAGCCAGGAAATTAAAAGGCGCATTGCCATGGGAAAGTCTGCTGTTAGGGACCTCTCCAAAGTGCTGAAGAGCAGTGGTGTCTCTCTGGAGACTAAGGTGCGTCTGATACAGGCCATGGTCTTCTCAATCACCTGTTATGCATCAGAGAGTTGGCCAATGACCAAGGAGGATAGAAGGAGAATTGATGCCTTTGAGCTGTGGTGCTGGAGAAGAGTACTGAGAATACCATGGACTGCTAGGAAAACAAAGAGATTTGTCCTGGAGAGGGTTAAACCGGGTGGCTCCTTGGAGGCAAGGATTCTGAGGCTCCGTCTAACTTACTTTGGACATGTTGTGAGGAGAGACCGGCCCTTGGAGAGGGGGACATCATGCTTGGGAGGGTGGAGGGACAGCGCAGGAGAGGAAGGCCCTCTATGAGGTGGATTGATTCAGTGACTGGGATAATTGGGACGGGAGTGTCAGAGACAGTGTGATTGGCACAGGACAGAGTGGAGTTTAGGGCTGTTGTACATAGGATCGCTATGAGTCGCAAGCTACTCGACGGCACATAACAACAACAACAACAACAATGGAAAGACAGGGATGGAAAGGTAAGAATTCGCATACCATCCTGGCACGGGGACCATGCTGACCTATGCATGGTGCTAACTTTAGTTTGTGTGCTGGAGGGAGTACTGTTTCACTTCATCCTTGCAGTGACATGAGGAGGCAATGCTATTCTTACTTCCATTTTACAGATGAAGAAACTGAGGCAGCTCTACTCTGTCCTATCAGGTCACTATGAGTCAGAACGGACTCAGTAGCAGTGGGCGGATACTAGGATGCTGTGAAGAGCAAGTGAACTCGGATACAGAAAGTGCTCCAATCAGAGCCTGGCACAGAGGAAGCTGGCGAGATGACTCTCAGCACCGGGGCAGGGAATTAGGGCCGCAGGACGATTGAGACAGAAAACCTGTCCTGAAGAACCTGAGGGGGAAGCAGAAGATACTAAACCAAAAGGCCTCCCTAGCACGACCCACAGGAGCCAAGGACAATGCTGCTGTTTACCAAAGGCGCCTGGTGGTACAGTGAGCTAAACGCTGGGCTGTTAACCAAAGTGTCAGTAGTTCAAGCCCAGCAGTTGTTCTGAGGGAGAACGATGAGGTAGTTTCTTCCTGTTTAGATTTACAGTCTTGGGAACCCAAGGAGAGGCTGAGGTGAGTCAGAAACCTTTTGACAATGGGGTACTGTTTCCTGAGCACCCAGGAGACACCAGGCACGGGGGTGTGACTTCTGTATGCGTTAATGACACACCTCCGTGGAACCCCGGCAAGCAGAGTTATGTCTCCGCTATTTCATACTCTGTGGGGAGTTGTCACCTGAACGTGGTGCCTCAGGTGGTCTGAACCAGCAGCTCCTCAGGAGAGATGGACAATCACACCCATCACCCCCCACCCCTATGATTTACAGCCTCAGAAAACCTGCCAGAGGGGCAGCAAGGCGTTGGTTCTGACTTGAGGGGAGTAAGTCGAGTTTGTTGAATTTATTTCATTGATGTAGAAACTGAGGCTCAGAGAGCTTATGTATCTTGTTCAAACAGTTAGACTATGACAGAGCTGGGAGAGACACTGCTTACGTCCCATGGGGGACTCAGGATTCTGCCAGGGGCTCCACTCATTCTGTGGACAGAGGGAAGGAGCCTGAGAAGCTTCTGGGGTGAAGGGGTGTATATGAGAGACCCTGTAAGCTGCCTGCCAGTCGGTGTGGGGGAGTCGATTCCATTTCACAGCGACCTCACGTGGTAGAGAGTAGAACTGCTCCATAGGGTTTTCTAACAACAGCAACAACAACAAGCTTTAAAGGAACAGGCCACTCAGTCTTTTCTCCCTGCAGAGACCCCGGATAGGTTCACACTGTCAACTTTCCAGTTAGTAGCCAACCGCTTAACTGCTGTGCCACCAGGGGTCCTTGGATAATCCTGGAAAAGATGCTCAATCTATCTCTCAAATTCAACACTACAGCCCTGCCTTGGGGGGTATCATGCGGACTGACTTCAGTGAGCTGGTATTCGCAAAGCTTGCAGAACAGTGCCTGCTGTGGGCACCACTTATGCAGAGTGATAGTGCCAGGGCCCATCCTGATGGTTCTCCCTTTAGCTGAAGGAGTGGCCTGAGTATCAGAGAACCCTGGACGTGCTGTGTGCAGGCTGGGCCCACTCACCACCCACGTTGTTCTTGTACGTGTTGTACATCTCCTTCACCCGACGGTAGCGGAAGGCCAGCTTCCTCATCCAGTCCACGCCACCGTGGACGCCGGAGCCCAGGCAGAGGCTGGCTCCTGGGGCCGAACTGTGGAAGCCATCAGCAGAGAAGTTATATGTGCTGGAGAGAGAGAGGAAGGGGAAGAGAGAGGGTGGGAGAAGAGACAATGTTAACCAGCCAGCCAGCCAACCAATTAACCAACAAGAGACAGTGTTAACCACCCACCCATTCAACCAGCCAACCAACCAACCAACTAAAAGACAGTGTTAACTAACCAACCACCCATCCATTCAACCATTAAACCAACCAACCAACCAGTCATCTATCTACCCACCCAACCAACTAAAAGACAGTGTTAACCAACCAACCAACCAGCCAGCCAGCCAGCCAACCAGTCAAAAGACAGTGCTAACCATCCATCCATTCACCCACCCAACCATCTAACCAATCAGCCAACCAACCAACCAACTAAAAGACTTTTAACCAACCAACCATCCATCCACCCAATTAACCAGCCAGTCTTCCAACCAACAAGAGAGTGTTAACCAACCAGCCAACCAACCAATTAGCCAGCCAGCCAACCAACCAACCAACCAATTAAAAGGCAGTGTTAACTAACCAACCACACATCCATCTACCCAGTCAACTAACCAGCCTGTCATCAACCAATCAGTAAGTGTTAACCAATCAGCCAGCCAATCAACAAGAGAGTGTTAGCTAAGCAACCACCTAAGAGACAGTGTTAGTTAGCATAGGGAGACAACAGGCTGGTGGATTCACGATGGGGCCAAAGGCATCCAAAAACCCAGTGAACATGGCACAGGATGTGGGCATAAGAGCTTCCAGGGAGGAGCAGACCACAGCTTTTAGTATGTTATTTATACATAATTTTTTTAAAAAAGATCTATAGAGAATACAATAACGCAGTTATAATAACTATGCACCTTCATAGCAAAGTCCTCTTTCATATTTAACAGGGAAAGCTGAAATAGTCAGCTCAGAGCAGGGAGCACAGCCGTGTCTAATCATAGGAGCAGATCAGCATTTCCCAACTGTGGTGGCACCAATGGTTTTGTGTTTGATTTTTGTTTTTTAGTTACTACTTTAATAGTTCAATAAAATTTAATCATGTGATTCTTTTTAGAAGTATAGGCAGAGTTAAGAACAACAGGAGGGTCTTACTGAAGCACCCAGGGACTAGGGCACTGAAAGAGTTTGAAAAGGTTCGGTTGTGGCTGACCTGAACAAGGGCAGCTGGCGTGGGGGACGCTGACCTGAGTCAAGTACGCACCAGTGCTCTTCCCAGAGACGGTGGCTGAGATCATGTGACAAAATGCAAGACTCTTGGTTGCTCTGTAACAAGAACTCTATCCTTGTTTCCATCAGCCAGAACTGAACTATTTCAAACTGGTTAGAATCTCTGCCAGAAGCTAGAGAATGGGGTGTCCTTCTCCATGCTACGTCAGAAGGAACAAAAAGAAGGGGTGACGTTTCTGGAGTCCTGCGAGCCAGCTGGAGCTCTGGGGAGCAGGGAAGCAGCGCCTCAAGTCGCCTTCATCTCTCTTTCATCTCCTTCTGGAGTCCCCCCATTGGTCAAGCCCACTGGAAGCCAACCACCGTCCTCTTCTACTCTTGTCCTGTTAGCATTCATTTCCCTTCCTTTTATATCAAATGGTAACTGTTTTCTTTGGGGAACATCTCTGCCCCCTGCGTGTAAGTGAGCAGATCAGGCAAAGCCTCTTCTCTCGCTCTCAGGAATTTGAAGCTCAGAGGCATTCCAAGAAATGACTGGTGCTGGTTCATCCGGACAAAGAGTCTAGAAGAAACGTAACGACTTCCTGCTGCTTTGACCCCTGAACGTGCTCTGGGCTTCTGTTCCTTCTCAGGCTTGACTGCCCGTCCTGTCCTCCACTCTGTGAGCAACTCCAGATCCTGCCACAAAAACTCCCTCTTCCGCTTATTATTTATTTAATCAGATGGTGTTAATTTCCATTACTTTGTAGAGATACGCTCTTTGACCCAGGAAGTAGTAGTTCAACATGTGGGTTGGGAAGAACCTGGTAGTCTATTCTCATAAAATTTTTTAAAAACACATTGTCATCGAGTTGACTTCAATTCATAGGGCTGAGCATCACTGCCCTGTAAAGTTTTCGAGGCTGTAATCTTCACAGAAGCAGCTGTTATACTACTGTTCTCGACAGTGGCTGGTAGATATGAACCACTAACCTTTCAGTTAGCAAGCAAGTGCTTAGTCACTGTGTTATCATGATTCCTTCCATAAACATCACAACCTTGGCAACCCTATGGGGCAGTTCTATTCGGTCACATGAGGTCGCTATGAAGAAAAATGGACTTTCTGGCATCTAGCAGTAATTTGTTTGCATAGCAAGGTCCTCTTTTCCACCAGAGACGCCAACGAGTAGATTAAAGTCTTGCTGCTGCTTCTTCCTTCTCAGTCCCAATTCCCCTGAGTGTTGGTGACCGGTGAATTAAGAAAAAAGCGAAATACACTCAGCTGGGAAGAGGGAGCAAAGCTACACGTAATCATATGAGCAGATACCATTCATCAAGGGACCACTCATCCCTCTGCACTGGGCACTCTCCCAGCACGTAACCCACTGTCAACGGACGAGGAAGAGGCTATAAATTTATCCTCCTCAAGGTACAAGGTTTGAATCCACCAGCCGGCTCTGTGGGAGAAAGATGAACAATCTATTCCTGTGTGATTAACAGCCTCTGAAAACCCTCTGGAGGGTCAGGAATGGGTCAGTTACGACTCAACGATCCGTAACAACAACAACAACAACATCGACGCTCCTTGGCTCTAGAACCGCCACTTTAAAAAAAAAAAAAAAACAAAACATCAACCACCCTCCTGTCCTTTCTCTGCAATGTAAAGGCTCCCATCTTGTCAGCTAATTTATTGCTTCAAAACCAAACACTGAGGGAGCTCTGGTGGCCTAGTGGCAAAGAAGCTGCACTGAAATCCCAGAGGTACACAGTTTGAATCCACCAGATGCTCTGCTGGAGAAGGAGGGGCAATCTCCTCCTGTACCAGTCAGATCTGATTTGATATCTCTCTCTCTCTCTCTCTCTCACACACACACACACACACACACACACACACACATATTTAAACAACAACAACAAAACCCAAAAAAACCAAACACTGACTATTAGTTCAGCAGATAACATGGTGGAGCTGCTGAGAGGGTCTATCAGGAGGCGGACATGCCTCACTGAGGGCAGGGCATGGTGCCCAAGGTGGACAGAGGTGAGGACAAGAGTTTGGACTCACGTTGTGGATTAGAATTCTACCTCCCCACTTGGCAGCTGTGGGCAGGTTACTTGATCTCCCCAGGCCTTACGTCCCCAGCCGTACAACGAGAGGATGGTGAGAGGATCAACCCTCTAAGGCTGCTGGGAAAGTGCAGAGTCAACCTATCTGAAGCACTTGGAACAACGAAGGTCCCAAGTGAGGGCTCAAGAAAGGCTGGCTCCCGGGAGCTCTGGTGGCCTAGTGGCAAAGAAGCTGCACTGTAATCCCAGAGGTATGTGGTTTTAATCCACCAGATTCTCTGATGGAGAAGGAGGGACAATTTCCTCCTATACCAGTCAGATCCAGTTTGATGGTACACACAAAAAAGGAATAACAATAAAATAAAATAAATTTTAACAAAGAAGACTGGCTCCTAATGCTAAGAGAGAAAAAAATCAAAGCAACAAGCATTTTATAATACCAGTTGTGTGCTGTGTGATTCCAACTCCCAGCGACCTTACTGGGCTGGACCGAGCGGAACTGCCTTATGGGGTTTCCTCGGCTGTAACCCTTACGGAGTAACTGGTGAGGTGTTTTCTGCTGGCAGCAGCTGGTTGGTTGAACTGCTGTTCTTCTGCTTAGCAACTGAGTGTGTCACCACTCTACCACTTGAGCCTCTTTACGTGGACTCTGGCAACAGGAGTCAAAAATCATTTGCTGTCAAAGTTGTTTCCAACTGATGCATGTCAGAGTAGAACTGAGTTCTGCAGGGTTTTCAATGACTGAGTTATTTTTCTGGACTGTCAGTCAGGCCCTTTTCCTGATATGCTTCAGAGTGGACTGGATTAGCAGCCCAGAAGACACCATGAGGGACTCTAGCACGTGATGCTCAAAAGCTCATTGCTGTCAGGTTGCAGTTGGCTCGTGGCTGACCCGACCCTGGGTTTCCAAAGCTGCGTATCACATGGGAGGAGATTACCCATCATTCTCCGCTGGAGCCACTGGAGGGTCTGAACCACTAGAGAGGCTCAGCCTTCGGGTCAGCAGTGCCGACTTGTTACGGACGACGCCACCAGAGCTCCTTAGAATATATAGCAGGAACTCGGTGAGACCTTCTTGAAGGAATACGTGGGGAATCTGGCTTCTAGGAAGAAGACGCACTTAAGTCGTGGATGTCTGGTTCTCAGCGTGAGGCAGGAATATTGCTCTGAGGTACCAATCCAGCTACTGCGGAAACAATCCTTGGAATGGAATCAATATCCAGAAACAAGACAGTGGAACCCTGGTTGCTCCCTCCCTCGAAAGAGAGTGGTGACTCTTGACGATGCCATGGAAATGATACGATGGACTAAGATCTGGCTTTCTGTCCCCCATCAACCGGACAGTCCAGGCTGAGTTCGAGCTTCGCGGCCAAGCCTTGCTCCTTGCTAATTCTGATTGCAGACATTCCGGGATGGCTAATGGAAAAGAAGCAGGCACTGTCTTCTCATTGCTGGTAAATAGGGGGGGTTGTGAAAGACTTGCAGGGATAGAACTGGGAACTTTAATCTCTTCCTTTTTCTTTTTAGCAAGTTTAGAGGCACAAGTTGGAAGCAAAGGCTAAGTGAACTTACAATGTCCAGTCCCATGACTGGAACATTACTTGGCCCAATGGTGTTCTAATGGGCTTGAGACCTTGAGAGGAGCCCTGAAGGGCTGCTAACCAAAAGGTCAGGGGTTTGAACCAGCTGCGCTGCAGGCAGAAGATGAGGCAGTCTCCGGTAAAGATTTACAGCCTCAGAAACCACGCTCCAGGACAATTATTCCGTTTTACGGGAGAATTATGAATCACAATCAATCTGATCGCAATGGGCTTCCTTCGGTGTTAGGAATGTTGAATTGTGATAATTTTGGATAAGCACAGATTAACAGATTAACTGGGGTTCTGGGCATCTAAAGTTTCCCGCGGGGCAGACTGGACCACTTCCAGCCACATTCCTCTGAAAGCTGTCTCATTCGGAGCGTTTTCATGCCTTATTTCCGGAATCTGTGTCTGTCCCAGAAATGCTTGCCCCTAACACTCAAACACTTCCACTTATATATTTAAGACAAAGTTTTTGAGAATGGACTGTATCAGTTTGGTTTTTTTTTTGGGGGGGGTTGGGTTATTTCTTTACTTGACATAAAACCCTCAATTTTTACACCAAAATATGCATGTTAATCAATGCACTAACACCTTTGGAGATTTAATACCAAACTCTTAGCAGATGTGCACACTCAACTCTTAGGTCCCCTGGGTGTGCAAACTGGTAAGGGCTTAAATACTAACCAGGAGATTGGGGGCTTGCATCCTCTGACAACACTTTAGAAGACTTGCTTCCAAAGGGCAGGTCACAGCTTTGGCCATTGTTTTTTCTTAGTGAGTCTAGTTTTATTACAACTTGTATTCCTACCCCCTTTCTATTGTTTTATTACCAAATAAAATTGTTATTTACACTGGTTTACTTACAAAGTTTGTACACATTATTTTTCACACCAGATCTTTCTCATTTCCTTTACCCACCCCTCCCTCCACCTATCAAATTCTGTGACCCTATGGTCACACCCCTACCCATCCTCACCTTGCTGCTCCTACCCTCGCCCCTGGGATCCTCACACATGTTTTACTAATTAATCTTTTTATTTCTATAATAATGATCTTATACAGTATTTGTCCTTATGGGACTGAGTTAGTTCACTTAGCCTAATACTCTAGTTTTGGAAAATTTATGGTGCGATTCTACTGTGTACACATGGAGTTACCATGAATCAGAATCACTGTGACTCTAACTAATAATAACAAAGTTTTTAAATCAGAAATCAATCTTCTTAAGCCAGGTTTATCCCAGAATGCATAGCGAATTCTCAATGGTAAAGATCTTGGGATACATTTCAAGGGTGCTAACTGAAGTTTTTCTAAGAGGCATGTATTGCTTTGCTGAGCAAGGGAGGAATCATTATGTAAACAGAATCACATAAAATGTTCAGAAGTTTGAGTTTCAATGATCTCAGGCAATGCTGAAGTAGAGGGAAGGGCTGTGCTGTTTTAGGGCTGATGCAGGACCACGCAGAGGAGTCATATTTCTGGAGACTAAGCCAACCCTCTCCCCGTCACAGTCCGCTTCCCTCTGCCACTTCCTAGTACTAGAAAGAGGAGCTTGATAACCAATCAAAAAGGGCAGCTCAGCTTCATGCCCCACCCTATCCTCACCTTAGATCTTGGCCATTGTCATCTGATGAGACGTCATCAACGTGGATCTGGTCACAATCCTGTGGAGAATTTACCAAGAAGAGAGAGAGAGATAAGAGACATGATTTGTTAACCGGATGTAGCTTCTAGGAAATGGTTTCATAAACCAAAGGGTGGAATGACCAGTGGGATGGGAGTCAAAGTCCAGGGTTCTAGTCTAACTTCTGAAGGTGAGGTGACCGTGGTCTGTCCTCTCTTTTTATCTAAGATTTTTTTACAAATGAGCAGGCTACAGGAGGCTGACCATACAATGTATCACTCAAACAGAGATGTTTTTGCTAGTGGAAAGAGTTGCTATTAGTAATATTATTTTGGGAAGAAAGTCTGGGCCTGTGAAAGCCTTGGCCTTGTCATGGTGTTTTCTCTGCATCAAATGTTCTTCCACCTTCCTCTTCTTGGTGAACCTTGTGTCCTCAAATGTTAATATCTGGAGGCACATCCTTCCCACATCCCCTTCCGTATCCTACAATCTAACACACTAGCAGTCATTTACTGAGCACTTGCTATGCGCCAGCACCCTTCCTTATGTCCTGCAAAAGTCTGTCACCTCATGAATTCTATACTCAGTTTTCTTTGTGGAGAAACCTCCCTCCCCCTATGTAGTGTAGAGCTGTGAGGTGGGGGTATGACTTAGGCCAGCCAATCAGAGGGATCAGGGTCCTTCTGACCATAGTGATCGCCTCAGGAATGAGCACGTGATCTAAGTCTGGTCAATGAGAACCATCCTTGGGACTTCAGCTGGCAGTTTTGGACAAGAGACGCGCCTTTCACTGGAGTTGTTAAAGAAAAGTAGATGTGAGAGGTAACGTGTGTGTGTGAGAGAGAGAGAGAGGAAATGAAGGAGAGAAAGTGAGAGTGTGTGTGTGTGAGAGAGAGAGAGAGAAAGAGGGAGAGAGAGACACACACACACGAAGGGACAGAGGGAGAGAGAAAGAAATGAGGTTTTGCTGTGTAAACAACCATAGCTAGACCACCCCTGACTGAATGGCAAAGGGGACTTTGCAAATGGGATTAAATGAAGGATCTTGTCATGGAAGATTAATTTGGATTGCGTAGGTACCTGGAACATAATAAAAAGACATCTTTAAGAGAAAGGCAAAGGTACATCTGCCTACAGAGAGGAGGTGATATGATGATGGAAGGAGAGATTGGAGTGACAGTCTATGGAGATGGAGGAAGAGGCCAAAAGCCAAGAAACACAGCCAGCCACTCTAGACTGGGAAGAACCCCAAGAAATGGATTCTTGGGTGAAGCCTCAGCAGAACTAGCCCTGCTGATGACACCTTGACTTTATCATTGTTGTTGTGCGCCAACAAGTCTTTTCTGACTCAAAGAACCCTCCCGTGGGACAGCATAGACCTGGCCCATGCGGTTTTCCAGGCTGTAGTGTTCATGGGAACAGATCGGCCAGGTCTTTTCTTCAGAAAATTCACTGGTAGGCTCGAATCACTGACCTTTCTGTTAGCAGCACAATGCTCAGTCACTGCACCACCAAGGCCTCTTTGCCCAGTGACACTGATTTCAGACGTCTGACCTCCAGGAGGTTAAGAGAATACATTTATGTTGTTTTAAGTCCCTATATTTCCACTTATTTGTTACAGCAGCAACAAGAAACTCACACTGACTTTTTTAGAGTTCAGCAGGAGTTAAAGCAAGCTAACTCTCTGATTTGAACATTTGCTACTTGCAGCCAAGGGTCAAGTGTCACTAAAGGAGCTGGGCATTATGGGATTCCCCACATGTAAAGAATCTAGCTTGGAAAAGTAGAGGGTCCAGCAGAAGAGAAAAAGACGCTCAAGGATTGATGGTTATTGCAAGAACAGGCTTAAGTACAACAGAGCTTGTGAGGATCATGCCAGACAGTGCAAGGCTTCCTTCTGCTCCTACATCAAGGCACAGAGCTGTGATTTCCCCCAAAACTAACAGAGTAACTGCTACCCTTACCTGCCTTTGTTGTTATAGGCCATCGAGTCACCTATGACTCACAGCGACTCTATGCACAACAGCTCCGAAGCCTGCCCTGTCCTGACCCAGTCTCACCGGCTCTGACACGTCAACCCCCATTGTCCCAGTTACTGTATCAATCCATCTCATCCGAGTTCTTCCTCTCCTATGCTGTCCCTCCACCCTTCTGAGCATGATGTCCTTTTTTAAGGATCAAGCCCTATTGGCCACATGCCCAAAGTATGTGAGACGGAGCTTCAAACCCCTAGCCTCCAAGGAGAAACCTGGTTTTACCCTCTCTACTTAAATTTAAATTAATGAAAATGAAGTAAAATTAGACACTCAGTTCCTTAGTTCTCTTTCAGATGCTTGACAGCAGAGCAAATGGCCAAGTGTTTAGCTGCTGATCAAAAGGCTGGCAGTTCAAACCTACCCTCCAGCTCTGAGGGAGGCCTGGTGATCTAGTTCTGTGAAGATTACAGCCTCAGGTCACTATGAGTTGAAGTCAACTCGATATGTGGCAACTACCGGCACCAGCACCACCACTGACGCTGTCACCACCACAGCCACCACCGCAAGTGATGACCATCTTGGACAGCAGATGTAGAACACACTCACTATTCTAGAAGGTTCTACTGGATAATGCTGCTCTAGCAGACTAAAGGGACTGAGCTAATAGATTTTCTTCTATGTTGCTAAACTCAACTGGGGAAGAATCTACAAACTCTTGAGACAGATTTACCCAACTCGGGGCTTAAAAAAAACCCAAACAAACCACAACCTTCCTAGAAACAGCGGTCAACACGTAAAGGACAGGGGTTGCCCCCGGCCCCTTCTCTTCTCTGGATTTTCAGACCCCCTGGAGAACCCACCCTCTCTGGCTTGATGGGCCTTGGGTCCTCCATCCCAGCAAACCTTTACAATGCTGCTGCAGCTGCCGCCAGTTCCCCAGGGTCATTTTACATGATCTAGTTACTTGACCTCTGCGTGCACCTGAGTGTGGGACCTCCACAGACAGAGCATCCCGCGACCAGCAATCTTGATAAGTGAATAAAAATTGCACTTCCAAAGCCAAGGTTGACTTTACAGGCTCAGAAGTTGAGAAAATGTTAATAGCAGACAAGCGCCCAGCTTTTGTGTGCCGCCTGATTGGAAACTGAGACTCAGCCCCTTGTCCCTCCCCTTGAGCTTGACCGCTGCTGGGGTCCCAGCTTCAGCCCTGGGCAGGTTTCGTGTGCTTTTCCTGACGTCAGCAGACAGGCATTTGGGAGGCTCTGCTTTTCTCATTTGCAAGGGGATTGTTGGGGGTGCTAAAGTGTGACAACAGTAGTGATCACATTTCGGACTTAATAAAATACCATGACGCTTCGCTAGACGCTACCTCATACCCCACCAGCTGACCTGGATCGAGTTACGGCTGAGCCGTAGTGAAGAAAGCTGGACAGGCCCAGGACAGGAGGATGAGTCTGGGGCTTTGGGGACAGAAGATAGGATGCCACCCAACTCTGCCAACCTGTCTCCACTCCCCCTAGGTAAGGGGACAGGACTCAGCACGAAGGAGAGACCTGTCTTCACGGGCCCAAGGTGTGTTTGCCTGTCTCTTGAACAGTCCTATATGTCTGGGCTGGGCCAGCTGGCACAGACAAAGTAGAGATGCAGGAGAATGGCTTTGATACACATGTGATGCAGTGGGTGGGGACCAGGCACTGTATAGCCCCTGCCTTGGGGAACGGACACCTTCTGATCCACAGGGATGCCTGCACACAGGTGCAGCCATGTGCCCATCAGCCCAGTGTACAACTGGAAACACCTAAGGTCCCGGGATCAAGTCCAAGCAAAATAAAAGGTGGTGCACTCAGGCGGGGGAACTCTACCCATCAGTTCAAAAGAATGAGGTCAACTTCTTTGTGAACACATGGAAATATTCCCAAGACAAACTACAGTATGGAAAAAGCAAGTTAAAGAAAAATGCCCCTCGTATGATATCAGGTGTCTCTTCATAGAACCCACTGGAAAGCGTTCCATAAGGATAACCAGCTCCGCCTCAGTCAGTGCCTCATGGTGACCCCACGAGTGTCACATACTGCTCCATATGGCTTTCAGGGTCTGAAGCTCTGGAAGTAGAATGCCACACCTGTCTTTCCTGGCACTTCCAGGTGGACTCGAACCTCCAACCTTTCAGTTAGCAGCCGAGTGCATTAACAGTTGACATCTTCCATGTATCTTCAAAGTGCAAATTCATTGCTGTGGAACTGGAAACAAAGAATAGCTGAACTTCAGAGGGTTTTTGGAGGCTGTAAATCACGTGAGAGGAGACGGTTCTTTCTCCTGTGGACGCGAACAGCCAGTGTCACCATTAGGCTAGCAGTGAAACTCCTCATGGACTCTTGTCGCTGTGTGTTTTCACGTCACAGCTAACCCACAGCCCTTCCAGTGGGTTTTCAGAGGCCCATCTTTCTCCTGTGGAGCAGCTGGTGGATTCAAACCATGTGCCTTTGTGTTGGTAGTGCAGCTCCTAACCACTGGGCCACCAGAGCCCCTCCCCATGGACTACAGATACAAACAATATTGCTAGGTCCCACTGAGCCAATTTTCTACTCAAAGTGATTCCTGCATCTGAGCATACCCACCCACCTGACACCAGCAGGGATATGCCTTGTCCCATGGCCTCTTCTGAATCCAGGTGGAGTCTCTGTCGATGTACAGCTGCAATAATTTCAAATTATCTTCAGCCAAGTTTTACGCGCATGTGCTATTAATGATAATTTCCGTCTTCTACTAGATTACCTTTCTCTGGAATGAGCGTCTATATGGATTTCTTCCAGCTGCTGGGTCAGGTAACTGTCTTCCAAACATATCAACACAGGCAAGTGAGTACATCCAACATTACATCTTTTTGTCGGAACGTTTCAGTTGGTAACTGGTCAGTTCCTGGAGCCTGTCTACAGCTTCCCCGCCCCCACCCCCCATCAAAGCCGCCTGCGCCGTTTGGACTTCTTCCTGCAATACTACAAATTCTTGAGCAAACACTACTTCTCTTCGGTTCTATGACTGTATATTCCTTCCATTCTCGTTT